GCTTCTGTGGGAGGTTTACGGTTTATGTGGGGGTGTGGGGGGTGTACGGTTTATGTAGAGGTGTGGGGAGCTTCTGTGGGTGGCATATGGTTTATGTAGAGGTGTGGGGAGCTTCTGTGGGGGGCTGTCAAAATACCTGAACAATCTGATTGGATGTAGGCATTGTTCAGGTGTTTTGAAAGCCAGCGGGGGCCGACTACCAAGAAGCTGAAGCTTGGCCCAGTGGGAGATTCCTCCATCCACACAGTTTAGCATAGATGGAGGAATGTGTTGAACTTTTTCCATCTCACCATAGAAAATCTGCAGATAATCTATAGGTGTATGGCCAGCTTTACACAGGTAAACGGACTCCCGGCGGCTATAGACTAAAGGGTTACATTGAGACTTTTGTCTGCATTTACCTGCATTCAGGATCCGACTGGAGCTCTGTACACATGTAAACACAGCTTTAAGCAGGTTCATCTTAACGCAGGTAAAAGTGATGTGGGAAGCTAAAATGTGTTTGTTCTTCCAGGATCACTTCTCCTGCATATAGAAAAGATAAACCTTGGAGTGCCAATATGAATGATCCATGAATTTTACATAATCTCTTTGTAGCCACGTTCTATATCCTACAGAGTGACAGAGATATGGGAGTGAAGACTGTCAGAAAGTGTACAAGAAAGAGTTCTGTGTAGAGTGTTGTGAGTGGAGTGACCTGGTATCTAAGCACTGCAGTACTCTCACCGTGCCAAAGTCTCTTTAATATTTAATCTCTGCTCGCTGTTACAGTGTATGAAAATTATGTTCTTTTCTACCTATTGTTACACAGAACAGCCTTTAGTTTATAACAAATCTAGAAGATACTTGCGTGCAATATTTATCATATACATAGCTGACATTAGTATATAATGTGTATGAGTTGTAGCAAACGTAGCCAGTGTGAATATTTAAAAGTGACCTCTGAATAATAGATGAAAATCTGAATATTTTTTCAGGATCATATCCATTCAGATTCATTTCATTAGAAAGCGTTGTGCTTCATAATGGAGGATAGTCGTACTACACTGATTGTTTCTGACTCCTATTCCAGTGAGAGGCTTTGGAAAGCTTAACACTATACTAATAATGATTTAATAGTGGAAGCATCACTGAAGAAATGCTATATACTCTTCATGGATGATCCTGTATTAAAGAACAACAACACTAAAACTGGATTTCTCTGTTATGTCTGGAGTGAAGGGGACATTGTTCCCCCCTCAGGTCATGCCTAGGATCATAAAGGGGCTTTGATATATATTGTAAGAGGTAGAGCTTGCCTAGTGCTATCATTATAACTAGCAGAAGGGAAATATCCAGATGTCCTTATGATAGATCCACTAGAGAGCAGATTATACATCTTTACCTTGCACCCTCTGGTGCCTTACCAGAGGGTGCAAGAGGTAAGGGAAGATGTCCCTACCACCGTCCTGCCAGCACTGAAAACCTAGGGCAGTGTTCAAGACTTTAGTCCTATTCTACATAATATAGACACGTTCATTGAGCATTAACACAGGATTCCAATTTGGTTCAAATTGTCTGGCATGCTGATCCAATGGCTGCAATACTTGAAGCCCTGACTTCACTTGCTGAATGCTTATTCCAAGTCGGTTATTATCGCAGAACATTAAAGCAGCCAGGATTTTCAGAAAGGGCTCAGCAATAACATTCTGGCTAAAGCAAACCATAAACTGATCACATTTTGTCCAATTCCTGCTGGAAATTGCCCCTATCGGCCCCACCTGGCTTGACAAACATCAATTGAATAAGGAGCCAGGTGGAAAAGTAAAGCTGTTGGTTCCACCAGCTGCTGAATGCAATAGCTGGCAGGGGAGATTCCCTTATCTATGCTGTTTGTGTGGCTGGGAAGTAGATTAGATTCTATTATTCAGCCCATGGGGGTAAATTGGGGAAATCTATAGGTGTATGGCTAGCTTAACTTTTCATGGTGTTTACTTAACTCCTTCTAAGAAGTAATTTGTGAAAGATGTGATGGCACTGTTCACAGTACATTATTATTATTATACAGGATTTATATAGTGCCAACAGTTTGTACTGTCTGTCCTTCGTAAAGCGCTGCACAATTACAATACAATTCAATACAGGAAGGTTCTTGAGAGCTTACAATCTACAGGAAGTGCAAGTGATACTGAAGGCATTCATTGTGACAGATGAGATGATGTACATTTTTTAGGAGGAAGCGGGATAGGCTTCCCTGAAGAGATGAGTTTTCAAGGATTGCCTCAAGGCAGAGTAGGGGATACCCAGACTGATTGGGGTAGGGAGTTAAATAAAATCTCAAATGCTGTTTGCATTTCAGTGTTAGCACACGTCCAGCACACAATGTATATCTGCAGTGCCTATACTTTACCCTTCACTGACCATGGACATCTTGTTGTTTTTAGGTGCAAGTACTGGCAATATGATGAAAACCTGCTGACATCTAGCGTGATCATTGTGTTCCATAATGAAGGATGGTCTACACTCATGAGGACCGTTCACAGTGTTATCAAAAGGACCCCTAGGAAATACCTCGCTGAGATTGTCATGATAGATGACTACAGTAACAAAGGTGAGTTCTGAAAAGCTGAAGGACATTGAAATGACTATACAATCCCTTTAACAGGCATCTACACCCTTGCTACTGTCTCAGACTGAATTAAAACAGATGATAGAAACCAAAATGGCCAATAAAAAGGGAGTAGCATACCCTTAACATAAAGGACTTTCTAAGAGCAATTATTTTCTACATATATTAATAGAAATAGTTATAATCTGAACCTATTTTTTAGGAATGCATAGCTTTTAATTGTCCCTTTGTTTTAGAGAGACACGTCCTCTTTTTGAACCCTCTGTCACTTTTTCCTCCTCTTAAATTCCTCTTGCTGGTCTGATGTATAGACTTTTATAAACAAATGTGTTATTTAACTTGAAAAAGTGTTTTGTTGCACTACAAGTTCATCCAGCCTCTAAATGATGGCATTTGTCATTTCCAAGAGCTAGTATAAAAGAAAAGTAGCCGTGAAAAGAGCATTAGTGACGTAACAAACTGCTGAGTTTTTTTCAACACAAACACTTCATGATCCACAGGATTTGGGGTGTTCTGGGGGACTGTCCTTTGCCTATGTACTGGGATCTAAAAGGTGTCCCTCTTTAACCTATGAGAGAGTCGTGAGCATACCACCATTTTGTATGGTTATAGTTAAAGATTCTCAGTTTAAATATCATAAACAACAGCAATATGGACACTGTAATCAGCCAGAGACTTTACAATGGAATGCATTACTGCTTATAAGTAGCGTTAAAGCTGAATGGTATTTCTTGAATTCAGTGTAATGTGTCCACAGCCAGGCATTCTGTTGTGTGACAGGCTGGGTCTGTGTGGTGTTGGGATGTATGCAGAGGATACTAAACGGTCTGCTGGTTCTTCCCTTGCAATGCTGCACAGCCCCCGGAAAGTTGAACCATTCAGCCATTAGCTGTCTGAGTCTAACCACACTTAGCATATCTCTTGTGAAATGAATAGAGTTGTCTCTTGCTATTAAAGCATCCTCTGAGGATTATGTAAATTAACATTGCTTCTGTGAATAAGCCATCAGATGCATTATTTCATCAGCTCTCAGTGCAAATGGCGTTACTCAATGCAACACAATCAGTTGTTTATTCTGTCAGGCTTGTGTCTGCTGTCCTGGCTGCAAAGAAGGATATCGTGCTTCAAGCACATTTTGCAATGCAGTTCATAAAGACAAACTTGTGATCTAATGACGTTTGCTCTTGTGTCGTTCTTTCAGATCATTTAAAGGGGAGGTTGGATGACTATGTCAAACAGTGGAATGGCCTGGTTAAGGTCTTTAGAAATGAACGTAGGGAAGGTCTGATTCAAGCTAGAAGCATCGGAGCCCAAAAAGCCAAAGTAGGACAGGTAAGAAGGAATGATTTACCTTGTTCACCGTAAGCTAAAGATTAAGGAACTACTTGTTGTAAATAAAACATTTCCACTGATACAAGATCAAACAGAAGGCCACACTTAGCTTCTAATTTAAACTTTGCAGCTACTACACAGAAACCCAATCGTGGCAACAAACCACACAGCTCTCCAAATACCGATGATATCAATACTTCAATACCACCTCCAAATACAAGAAAGTGAAGGAACAGGCATGAAATGTAAATGCAAAAAAGAAGTATAAGGCTAGGTTCACACCTGGATGACTCCTGATTGCACGGCAATCGTGCACAAAACCGTGCGGATTGTCGGGCGGTCACGGAGTCGCCCACCACAGCCGATCGCGCTGGAGGTGCCATTATTTTCCCACTGCGATTCCACCCATGCAACTAAACACGATTGCGGCTAAAAAAAAAAGACATGCGTTGTGTGTTGAAAAAAAAAGGTACCTTTTTTTTAAGTCAATGGGTCCGCGTGGCAACTGCTGTGTGCACTAGCACACGATCTCGCAGTCCCAGGACGCGGGTCCCGGGTATCGCTCAAGTCTGAACCTAGCCTAAATCAGATCTACTTATATTATGAAGTCCATAATTATTGCAAAAATTAGTTTTTCTCTTTATGGTAGAGAGAAAAGCCTTATTTTTTTAAGGGCTTGTGTTGATGTATCAGTTTGAGACGCTTTTAAGACCATTCAGAATTATTTGACAGGTACATTTGTTCTTCATTTAACCTATTGCAGGTGGGTTTTGCATTGCCATACACTTGCATGGGAGTGCAAAACCCACATGAAGCCAACAAGCTTGTCATCACAGGCCCTGAAGGAGTCACGTCCAATTGATGTGTGGGGTGTTGAATACGGGAGGCTTTCATTTCCAAATATTTCACAAACCAGTAGTTCACCCGTCTCAACTCACTTGGAGAGCACAGTCAGAGTAGCGCCACTGAATTGATGGATTAGCACTTCCATTTACTGGAAAAATTCCAATTTCTTTATTTAAATTGCAGTGTACAAGCATACAGCTAATTGTGCTCACAGTTCATCCACATATTGCACATTCATTTATTTCAAAACAGGTGAATTCTGTTTTATTTTGTGGGACTTATGTAGGAAACCTATTGGATGCATTATTTCTTTGATCCTTTTTTTCTTATATGTTTTGCACTTGTTATTGTTTCAATTCATTGTTTGGAGAGATGATATTGAATTATTGTGACATTATAGTATTGGGAAAGCTACACTATTCTTTATACATTTCTATTTCCCATTTTGTTAGTTATGTGCAGTCTGCCACTATTTACAATTCTAGTGATAATTCCAACCAATGTTAAAAGTTGGGGCTGTTATTTCAAAACTGGAACAAGAGTTTTTATCTAGAGCCACCACTCCTTGCTTCCTTTCAAAGAAGAAGTCCTATTGATTGCAGATTCAGGATCTTCAGTTTAGTATATCTGCTGTAAATTTTGAGGATGAATTGCTCCACAGTGTCTGAAACTACAGATGTCGGTGAAGGCTTGTTTTTAAAGCAGCCTTGTCTTAAAACTTAAATCTTTCCAAACACATACTTGTAAAATAACAATGTAAATACTGACCTTTCCTGTTGACTGCAACTTTGAACACTGGTCTGTTTAGTAGCAATCTTTAATCAAAGACTGCAGGGGAACCAACACTTCCCAGGAGTGTCAATCTTCGGGGTCTCCCACAGCTCACAATGGTTCCTTCCTCTGACCTTCACTCATTTTAGGATACAGCAGTAAAGTGATACGTGCACGAGCAAGGATCCCCCCCTGATTAGAGCCGTACGGATCTGATCCATGTCCATCCAGTTTTTTCCTCTATCTTGTGATGCAGGAAAGAACTAAAACATGGCAGACCCAATGCCGTTCTATGGGGAGTTGGATGTAGACAGATATGTGTCCATTTACATCACATTACCCCCGATCTGGTGCGATCAGGTCCGGCAAAACGGAAATTTTGTTCCATTTGTTTTTTGGACTTGCCAGGTCCGGAGTTGGGGGTAACTGAGTATAAACTAACTTCCGTTTATACCCGGCTGCCCATAGACTAGCATTGGACATCCGGTTGGGTCCACTTGAAAAATTAACTGGCCCATGTGAACGAGGCCTTACCCTTTAATGGCCAAGTTGGCTTTTGTTGAACAAAAAAAATCTATATCCCCCACCCTATCATATTGTAAATAGAACTACAGCCTTTCTTTTTGCTGTAGGTTGTCAGAAGCAGCCGGGAATAGAGAATTGCATCTGTTATGAGAACAGGTACTGAACTTGGGGTTGAAGTGATCTTTTTTGCAATGGCTGAGACTGGCACATGCAGCAGAAACATAGGGACATAAACGCCATCCATCCCTGGCTGCAGAAATAAGAAGTCCCACTTGTCTGCAGAGCACATCTATAGTTGTATTTTTATAGTAACCCCCTGAGCACATAGCATAGAATCCTTGCACATCTGATATCATTTTAATTGGCATAATTATTGAGAATAGACCACGTATGGCTTTTACATGCAGTCAGATTTTTAGGGACACATTGTAAAAGTCCATAAATAAAATATAACCACTGTACACTACTTGCAGTCTTGGAGACCATGTTGAGTATTAGTCTGTTTTTGTGCTCTTAAGGGGATATAGCCATCTACTCCTCCCGAAGGGACCCCTCCGGTACATGGATCTGTAGTACTCTGTAACTTAATTACTGATGGTTTCTAAAGATCAATGATGTGCTACCAATGATTGGCAACCAATCAAACATCCTCAACTGAAATATGTTTAAATGTACTGTATGCAAACAATAGCTATCAACTTCTCTTATTTACTGCCTTTTTAGTCTGGTTAAATATACTGGTGAAAGCATTTTGATATATCTCTTCAAAAAGTGTAAAAAATACCTATTGATCCTGCCTGAAATCTTCGGAGCTGAAAATGTCCTCTGCCTCTGCTATGAGTTAAATATTCCTAGCTATCTCTGAGGACTACAAAACACCTCCCTTTGTTATGGAGGAAAGGCAGGAGTGTTGTGTAATCCTTTCCTAGGGTGACAATACTGCTCCTCTATAGATACAATAATGTAAGTGAGTATTGTTACCAGTGCCGGATTTCCATTTCAGGAGCCTGTGGGCACGAATGGAAACCTGTTTAGCCTGAGCCGGCACACTTACCTGCTGTAGGACCCACCGGCTTTCAAATTTGCAGAGAAGGACCCCGGTGTCGCTTAAGGCTGCCCTAAACGCCTATCTGCATTAGACAGGCGTTTTACAGGGTGCTTCCCCTGCTCTTGAACCTGACTGTTCCTGTAGGTGCTCTCTAGTTTTAGATCAGGAGGATGCATTTTGTGCAGAATGCCTCCTCCTCCTTGCTATTGCCGGTGTTGTATCTTGCTGATGGGCGCATGACGGCACAAGCCTACTCTGGTAAATCCAGCCCTGATTGTTATCCTAAGACAGGAAGTGTGTTACTGGCCTGATCACCGGGTAAAATAAAGGAAAAAAGGCGTAATAAATAAAACAAACGCAGCCGCAACATCTAAGGACTGGTAAGCTGTAGTATTTTTTTTTTCTTTTGAGTTTCTATACACTTACTGCTCTTCCACTCAGTAATTCAGATAGCCCTCTGTTTATTACAAAGGGGCACTGTTTTCCAACAAGTGTTTTCATGTTTATGAACTAGTAAATAACGCACTGTTCACCCTTTTATTGTTTTGCAGGTTTTAATTTATCTAGATGCACACTGTGAAGTGGGAATTAATTGGTATGCACCATTAATAGCCCCCATAGCCAGAGACAGGTAAAATGTCAATGTTTGTCGGAATTAATTGTGTTCACATGCACTAAGCAGGGTGCGTCAATTGTGGGTTTAGACCACAAAGAGATGTAATGAAATGCATTAGCTGTAATTAAATGTAATGAGATGCAGTGAGCCAGCATCAAGGGTCATTCTACATGATTGTCACAAGTAATACTAATACTGGTTGCTTCACCTTGAAAAATAGTATAGCATAGGACCAGCTTTATTTGTGTCAGCACCGGATGTGCACCTTTTGCAGCATCTGAAATTACCTGGCAGATTTTCTCATTTTAGAATCCCTTCCAAGTCAAAGTATCATGGCAGTGCAGTGGCAGCAAATTACACAGCTAGATTGACAGTTTGGAGCAAAAGCCTTTTCCACAGAGTTCTGCTCTGTCTTCTAATGTACAGAGGCCATTATCATGGGTCAGAAGCTTTACGTGGTTATCATTGCTGTACATCATTTTACTCTGGTAAGGCTTTCTACTGGAAGGAGAGTTTTCTTATTACGGACATAGCACCAACATTTTCTGTAGCACTGTACAAAGTGGAGGAAAAATATAAGTGTTATTTTTTAAGTATGTAAAAAAATGTCATAAAATTGTCAATTTTTCCTCATTCATAGATCTGTGCGATGAAATATTTGCTTATGTGTGTTAGCAGTGATGTCACAGCTCTTAGGGCTCATTCACACCTGGTGCGTTGAGCTGCATTGGTCAAAGCAGGCTTAATGCAAGGACACTGAGAAAACAATTATATGTGCCCTGTTCACAAGTGTGATGGAGTGCATTGCATACAATGCATTATGTCTGTATTTCTATGCAATGCAACACACAACAATGCGCTACAACGTGCAGTGCGGTGTACATGTTACATGCACAATAATGTGTGTATGCTGGTGTGAAAGGGCCCCTAGGGCTGCTTAGAAGGACAGTGAGGGTAGACCACCACTGTAGTATAACATAGAAGGATATGGATCAGGTGCACACTTTTTGCTGGCACTATAAAATTCCTTTTAAAGAGCAAAGATATTTATTACCCCAATATATTAAGCTCCAGTATATTCTGTATTACACAGTACATGGAAACATCACTCCCAACACTCATACATACGTACATACACACACAACAAAGCATGCAGAAACGCCTGTGCAAGTTTTGATTTTTTGAGAAACCAAATGATTTTTAGTTCTGCCTTGTGTCTACAGACATATAAATAGCTCTACTTGACAAAAGAGCCAGGATGACGATCTGACTTGCTGCACTTAAGTGACACATCCTGGTCATGTCCATTAAACAGATGTATAGTAGGTTTTACATGTGGTACCAATTTACCCATGGAAGATGCACTTGGTGGAAACACAGCAAGCAGAATTTTATTAGAAGATAGATAGATAGATAGATAGATAGATAGATAGATAGATAGATAGATAGATAGATAGATAGATAGATATGAATATCTATATATAATTGAAAATGGTTCTATTGTAAACAAATGGATTAGAACTTTTTATAAGCTTTTGGTGCAGGTGCCTTGCAGTGCACCTAAAGCACAGAAATGGACCCTTATTCAGATGCTGCTGGGTGGCTGTCTGACACAAATATAAAGGCTTGCTAACATTCACACAGCACCAGGCCGAGCATAAAATTGATACATAGCTGTGGAATATATTAAAATCAACACCTAATAAGCGAAACAAGCATAGTCTATAAACTGGAACCAGTGCACTTCCATTATAGCTGTGAATTTGGTCCCAGTTTTTCAGGCAAGATTTGATTACCATTACAATGTTTTCTGCAGGTTTCTCAGAAATGTTTTATTCACATGGATGTGAGCAGATTCCCTTTGGCTTAGTTTTTCTGTGCTTTTTCATTACTGTTGAATAAGCATGCATAGCTGAAATTGGTGTGGAAGTATATTTCCTCACACAGTTATGACAACTGACTAAATGAAAGACCTTCCACATAAATGCTTTTTCTCTGCACTCTTGTTACGCCACATCAACTATGCTACAATACAGGCTTGTCTCTTAAAGGGGCACCTAAAATACAAATTGATTATAGTGAAATATTTGTTAATATGCCGGATATGGGCACTTAAAGTTCATCAGGCTGCCAATTAGTTCTGCAGTATGCACCAAGGCTACAGTGGTGGTAGTAGCCACAATTCATGTGTGATTATGTCCCGTACCCAATACCACAAACCACTTGTAAACAGTTTAAATCGGGGCTGGGTATAATCCCAGGAGCCAGGTAGCCAATGCTACCTATAAATTATAGCTGGTGCCTAATGTTTGAGGCTTTCTTCAGTTTTTGTCAATGGAGCTGGCTCCCAAAACAAATACTACTGGCTCCTGAATGCCATACTAGTTTGTCCACCCATGATTTGTACGCTATGTTCCTCCACACACTGGCTTTGCTGTCACTGTAAACCAGAGGTCCTCAGCGTTTGCCAGTTTGTGAACTGCATCTAGATGTAGCAAAGCAGGGTAAAGTTTCACGATGGTGTACAAAGTGCAGTTACCCAAGCATTTGAAATCCTCTCTTAAAGTGGCCATGAATTCAAAAAAGTGAAGAATTGCTACGTTCTAGGGAACATGTAGAAATGTTAATTGTGCATAAGCAATAACCTAAAAAATTTAGTTTTTGTGCGGCATTGCTTAAAAAAAATGCAATGCAATGTAAGGATGTCTAGGCATTCCTATGGTCTTCAGCCTTATAGCTATATACCTGCAATGTAAGATTTAAGGCACTGCTACTCTTGACTGCTAATCTCAGGCAATACGGAGTACTTTGCCAATGGCACTGCTGTGCTGTTCTCCTCGCTGGAGGCTGACATGAGGAAGCAAATCCCTACCACTACCAAAATAGTTGTACATAATAAGACATGGTAAGTGAGTAAAGCGGAAAGATCAGCCAAAGAGAGACTATAGGCTAAACTGGTCCCTAGTCTTTTTTTCCCTGCCTGCATTTTAAGGGCACAGCTTCCAGAGTTCAGTTCCTCATTAATCAAGCTGGCCACTATTATTATTATTATACAGGATTTATATAGCGCCAACAGTTTGCACAGCGCTTTACAATGTAAGGTTGGGCACACACCTTACAACCATCGCAAGACTTTTGTCTTGCGATGGTTGTAAGGTACTTAAAAAAAAAGTATGATCTGCCCATCTTGCATAGGCAGATCGTACTTGCGATGATCGCAAGCCACGCCCCCTGAGGGGCGGGCTTCCGATGACCGCAATGCCGAACGGGCCGCGTGCGCTTGTGCACACCGGCCCGTCCGGCTTTTATCTTACGAACATGCTACACACCCGCCGAACATCGTACGATGCTCGGCGGGTTTTCGAACATGTTCGTAAGTTTAAAGTCGTGCGACCTTACAGTAGTAGAGGTCGCACGGCTTCCACACACCTTACGATAATCGTACGATCGCGGGATTTCCCACGATTATCGTACGATTATCGCAAGGTGTGTGGGGACCTTAAGGAAGACATTACAATTCAAGACAAGATGGTAAGGAGGGCCCTGCCCGTGAGTGCTTACAATCCCAATCATTTAAATCTTTTTTTTTTTTACTGAGTCCTATGGGTCACTGCAACCTAAATTTGTTGTTCTGTTCAACTAAATAAACTTGTAAATATGAGCAATATTATTTTAAAAAATCTGTTTTACTAAGAATTATGGTTTTATCATATTCAAAATTGTAATAATTCCTCAATTGAATGGGATACATTTGGCAACCACTCCTGTATTCATATGTGGGAAAAGTGCAATATATACTGTATATATCTACTGTGACTACTGATACCAGCATCTGTGGAGATTCCACCACACTCATTACAGGTATGCCCCTTGTAAAAGGGTGCTGAAGTGACTGCGGATGGTGCCCCTATGTCAAAGCATCGAGTAACGTATCACCAGCAAATGGAAGGTCAAATGTCCAAATGCATCTATCAAAGCTTTACAGATGTAACTGCATTCTTTCCAATGAAACTCTGTGTCTGCTGGTATCGGTATTTGGACAATGTCCAAACAAATGCATCTATATTATATATATATATATATATATATATATATATATATATATATATATATATATATATATATATATATATATATATATATATATATATATATATATATATATATATATATATATATATATATATATATATATATATATATATATATATATATATATATATATATATATATATATATATATATATATATATATATATATATATAATATAGATGCATTTGTTTGGACATTGTCCAAATACCGATACCAGCAGACACAGAGTTTCATTGGAAAGAATGCAGTTACATCTGTAAAGCAGTCCGCAAGTGCACTTGGCCTTAAAGATTAAAACCTCTACTTGCTTGTAATAGATATGTGTATTGCTTTACCTCATGTTGTACTGCCTAATTACAAAGCTTCTTTTTTCTGTTCTTGTTGTGAATGTTTGTTTTATTTCCCCCCCTCCTGGAATCCTGGCAGAACTGCTTGTACTGTTCCTCTAATAGATTACATTGATGGCAATGTTTATACTATCGAGCCACAGCAAGGTGGGGATAGCGATGGTTTTGCACGAGGGGCCTGGGACTGGAGCATGTTATGGAAACGAATTCCATTAAGCGACAGAGAAAAGGCCAAACGAAAGCATAAAACTGAACCTTATTGGTAAAGAATGTGGTTTTATCTTTTATTTCCATGTTTGTCTAAACATTTATTTCTGTTTTTTTGTTTTTTTTTTATCCCCTTGTCCGGTTTTCCATTCTTTCTGTTGATATGTGTGTCCTTCGTGTCAACCCCTTCTCCATCCTGCATCACCACAACTGAAATAGAACCGCATGCACTGTACCTCTGATAGATGTCATAGATGGCAACACATATCATTTATTATTCCAAGGGGGAGGTGATGAAGATGGGTATGCTAGAGGAGCATGGGATTGGAGTATGCTATGGAAGCGGGTGCCCTTGACCAAAAAAGAGAAGGAAATGAGAAAAACAAAAACTGAGCCATATCGGTAATCACTAAACCACTTACAGGTTTCTTTTCCATATAATCTACTGATGTACTAATTCTCTCTGAATTCTCTGCCACAGTCCTTTTTAGCTTGGAACTACAGTAGTATATGACGAATACACGAATTTACCAAGATATGATCAGAATGGAATATTAAATTCCCCTAAACTCCTGGGGTTCTCTGGTCTTTTAGATATGTTAGGCATTATTCGGGTTACCTCTTAATTGTTCCACCCTGCATGAAGCTTTGCTGCACAGTACCTACGGGCCTGGGCTTATGCAGTACATGCAGGTCCATAGGCATGGCATTATTAAGATACATCAGGTGGCATTCAGCAGTGGCAATGTTTATAATGTACAACAAACCTTTTGTCCCTTTTGGTGGCTGTCATAGAAGAACTAATGTTTTCTTCCACTGAGGAGTCTCTTAAATCTATTAAGTCAAAAAGCCTCCACAGGCTGTTCTTTGCATAATTTAATGGGTGACATTGTGCACCATGTATTAGAACAGCAGCGATTTGCATGGATCGTTTTCTAGTGTAGCTAAGACAATTACATCATAATGTAAAGTTTTAAAGTATGTACACCTACAATTTTACAACATAAAATATATCTTGTGTGTACGTTTCACTAGTAAGAGCTTTCAACCTAAATGGGACTGAGGTATTTTCTTTTACTGACAAAGCAGCTTTAAGCGAGTTGTCCTAGCCATGTATCGCTGCTTCTCTTTGACAGTCATGGGATGTTAAGTTGTGGCTCATTTTCTCGATTGAAATAACTTGTTCTGTTCTCCGTTCACCTGGCACAGAGCAGCTTATTGGTGCTGCAAGCAACATGCTTGTTTACCTTCTAAACATTTCCAAAATCACCCCTTTCAGCCTTTTCTTTTTCACTCACGCATGTGCCTGCATGATGAATGTGCTGTATAAAACTGTACTTTGTGTATTCTGCACTGTACGAGTCCATCACTGATTGTCCTCCAGTTACCATATAAGTTCCTGCAATGTTATTTTTCTCAGTAATATCTAGCAACATGACCCAACTTATATACCCGACCCTGTTACTCTTCATCATTTTCGTTGTCATCATCCTTTTTAATGTAAATTCAACCCTTCACTAATTTGTAATAATGTAAAACAAAATGTTTGCACATTGCTTGTTTCACATTGAGGCCTTTTTCCAACAGTAAGTGCACAACGTTACTACATCATTCTCCAGACGGATCTGCGCCTTGTGAATTGTTAAAAAAAGAACTGCAAAGCACGATTAAAAAAACAGGAGGAGTTGTTTAAATCAATAAAAAAAAACAAAGCTACATCTATTCTAACTCGGCACATTATTTCCCCACTTTTTCCTACTCTCACAAATGGACACTTCAATGAAAATCAGTTAAAAGTATATCTAAAGGCACAATGAGAAGTGATCATAAAACTCCTAAAAGAAAGGGACATATCCTCTCAAAGAGGAACAAAGGGTCTTCATTGAAAGATTTAACCTTTTTATTGCTGTTATGGTGGCAACTCAAATGTTGGGTTCTCCTAACTTGCAGACCCGATGACAATGATGACCAGAACATATTGACAGTAAATTTTCATACCTAGGACAGAGACGGCAATAAAATCCAAACGGTTCTAATCCCTCATCCAAAACTAAAAATAAAAAGTTTGAGGTTTAGATCTTAGAAAAATAGCGGCTGTGACACCGCAGCATGCATAACTTGGTCATACTGGAGAAATGTTTCCTAACCTGTCCTCTGCCATCACCAGCAGTGTAGGTGATCACAAGTGAGCTGTCTTTGCAGCACATGTATCAATTAACCAATGTGGTAAACAATGTACTGGGGCATAATATGACATGGAGCACAAGTCCATACATCAGTGCACATAGACCTTGATGCACCATGTCAGGTGTGCTATGTACGAGAAGCCAACACATATTGTGGAACAGCTATACCCTATGTATATATTCCTCTCTACAATGTTGAATACACTTCATCATCTGTAACAAACACATCTTCTAAAAATTTCTGACCAAGGGAATGTTCTCTCATTCCTGGCCATTGCCTCTCACTGCAACCATTAAATAGAGCATCTTATACACTTTAAACAGCAAGGAGAGAAGCAGGAATATATAATTTAATCATTTCTGGGGGTCACAGCCAAAAAGTGGACCTTAATAATATCACATGCACCAATCTGAACTTTAGAATTTATACACCAGGCCTTAAAGGGGACTCACTATAAAATGTTTGGCCTTCACATATAGAATTCAGTAGGGATCCCTTAACCTGGCACAAGCAATAGCATGTGAAATAAAGCTAGGTGCTGTTTTATCTTTGTTCTGTGCAGTTTCAGCACCAGAACCAGATAGGGTAGGACCAGTGAGATGAAAAACCTCTGTCCTAGGGCTGTTAGAAGACTATGCCCCCCATACACACATACAATCCATCCTAAAGTGTTTCATCTTCATCCCTTTAGAATGGACTAAGTTTGAAGCAGACTCTCAGAAAACTGTAACATTGCACTGCAATTACTAAATTACTTTTTTTTAAGTGTTTGCTCTAAGGTTGTCATCCTTAGGGCTAGTTCACACCATAACTTAATCAGAACTGCGTGCATCTGCGCAGTTGCAGTGTGATGTGTTTTGTTGCATTTTTACAGTGATTTTGACGCCTTTTTTTAGCTTAAAATGGGCTTTCAGGTGTAGTCCAGTGCGTTTGGTGCATTCTGTTGCTGGCATATTCCTGTTCTAGAACTTGCACCTAAAAACACAAGTCGGCAATGCCAGCCGCTTTCTAACCCGGCAGGTTCCTTATAAAGCCCAGATACACTTTCTTAGTGTACTAATATAATTTTTTTACCAGTCTGGTTCATTAGGATTATACAATGTCCTCATGTATTCCTGATGTCCAGTGAAGCTGTTTAAGACCCTGCTCATTCCAGCAGTAGATAACTTCACACAGTTGTTGCAAGCAAATTAATAATAACAGGTTCATGGGGGTCATTGGGTAACACAGAAGACTGAGAACAAAGGGTGTCATTGGGGCACACAGAAAACTCTGAACAATTACAGGTTCAGGGGGTCACTGGGCTCACATAATACTTTAAACAAATAAAGTTAAGTGCAGGTACAAAGTGCCCACTACAGAAAAAAATTCAAGATCCCAGGATATTACTTCTAGAGAGTGATCTTCAGGGCCCCTCAGGTACCCATAGTCCATGTATAAAGTATTACCCTAGACAGCCTATCTGCTAAATAGGGTGAATGTCACCATGTCTTCCTTTTTAATTAATATTTCTAAAGTAGAATGACAGCAAAAAGCTTAACTTTATACAGAAAGAAAATCAAAGGCAATAGTCTTCAGGAGATAGTATTATTTCTGCTCTCTTAAATGACACAAGTGACAGAAAATCCTTTTGAAAACCATGTCTGCTTCCAGCATTTGCGTATCCTAAACCATTTTCCTAGTCTATGGCCTACTTGCATTAAAGGAGAATCATTCAATCAGACAAATGAGTCTTTTAAATGCACATCACGGTTTGATTTTTCTGTGCATGTTATTTTCCACTGCTCAGTCAATCCAAACCTTTACTGCAGAATACATAATATTTCTAAATCATTTGCATGTCTTGTTTTTTTTTTTGTACCAGTTTCATACAAAACTACTATCACTTCCATTTGTAGGTCACTGATGAAAACTAACTTCCCATAATGAAATTCAGTACTCTGCATTCACGGTTTAACACATTGATTGTTTAGCACATAATATTTCACACATAAAGCAGTTTAAAGAGGAATGGACATTGTGTAAGAATCTCAGTCTTCTCTGTTAAAGCCCAACTGAACTTCCATTTAAAATCTGATAAATACATTCCAGGTGCAGCCAAATAAAAGGAGTGCAAGGTCTTACAGTTTATTTTCTTTAGAAAGCAGCCACAGCCCAGGTAGAAAAGCCTGTCCCTTGCCAGGATAATTCAGAGAAGGAACCATGCTCCTTATGAGAAAGCATTGGTCTCTCTGTGCAAAGGTCCGACACATCTCCTGCTAAGTCACGCCAGTAACTCTGCAATCAGCAACGCTCATACTGCCTGCTGTTTGGAGAGCTTTATTTCTGACATAGCAGGGGGGTGTCAGACCTCCGCAGAGAGAGACCACTCCATTCATACAGAAAGCAATAGTCCTTCTGTGCAGCATGCTGAAAGGTGATTGGCTTTTCTTCTGAGGCTTTGGCACCAACCCATACACACACACACACACCACCTGTCTCCTGTGGTAGCTGGGGCCACACACATTGTTCAGGTGGCCAAGCATGGCCAGGATAGGGATCCCACTATCCCTTCTGCAGTGAGTGAACCTGGAAGCACTCTGCTGTTAGCACTTCTGGTTTAGGGTTGTCAGATCCTGGTGGCCCTAGCCAGATAAACAACAGATCAGGTACTCTGTCCCCAATCTTTTTAAGGAAGACATCAAGGGTCTCAATGCTTTCACATATGGGGCTTGTCAGCACGTAACGGTTAAACTGTTCATTAATCTTTTGCAGTCGGTATCCTGTTGGGGAGATTTCCCTGAATTTCCTGTCCAGAAGGGTTGTATACTCCTTCTGTCATAGCAAAAAAAAGTTAGAACAGTGTCAGGCTGCAAGGACTTCATGGAGTATCACCTGATAACTATTGCTGTCTGGGCTGGCATAAATTTCTGTTAACAAAGCCTTTAGTTTTCATTCTAGTAGTACTGGCAGCACCTTTTTTATATGACAGATTTCTGAGTGTCTGTTATCAACATTGAGCTCAGGAAGTAGACAGGGTGACATTACAGCCCTACATTGAGTACAATGAAATAACCGCAGTATTATACATATTCACGTATGGAGATTTATTATTGCACATGCTTATTGGTGACTGGGCCTAAAAGGTTGTCTGAAGTGAAATATCAGGGAGTAGTTCCCATAACATGTCATTCTGACCTTATTTTACAGTTTAATAGATAAATAAACTTTTGTGATAGATTTGTGACAGCCCGCCACTTTCATCTTTGATTATTGCGCCTTTTTTATATTCCGTTTCCAGCTCTCTTTGCTTCACTTTGGTAGATATCCTTTGCTTTCTGTGCTTGCTTGTATCCTAGAGTATTACACTATCCTGATCATATGAGTTTTCCTGATATGTTATCACCTAACTGTACTGTACTGTCCCAGTGCTGACAAACCTTTTCACTACAATCATTTGTAGGTCCCCTGCTATGGCTGGAGGATTGTTTGCCATCGAGCGAGATTACTTTTTTGAGTTGGGTCTCTATGATCCAGGTCTTCAGATCTGGGGTGGAGAAAATTTTGAAATCTCCTACAAGGTAATGTACAAGAAGAGCACCAATTTCTTTGCCATGCATGTTATTGCAGTCTTCTCGTGGGCATATTTGGTAAGGCCGGTGCAGAGTATTAATGAAGTGCAGACACCCATAGGAACAAATACTATGCTTTATTGTAGTCATATCACAAACTAATGAAATCTACTTGTTATAGTTTACTGTACATATTATCTGTGGGGTTTGCATTGTTTTATTAAAAAGGCCCAGCTGTACTTTTAAAACTCATTACACCAATAAGCAAATATCTCATCTTAGCTTGTTTTTTTCCTCCTTTGTGCTTTAAAGGCTAGCATCACAAGTCCAAACTATGGTAAAGGTGGCTTTGTTTACGGTCAGTATGATGCCCGCATTGCGTAGTGCAGATGGCATATGTCTACAGACTGGGAATGAGAACAAGAAAGGGATCCCGTTTATATTTATTTGCAATTGGATGTCTGTAATCACACGGGGTGAAGTGGTAGTGTGGTGTGCAGGGCCTAGCAAAACCTACACAGGTCAGCATGAATTCAAAGATTTAGGGATCTACAGCCGAGTGATACATAAATAAGACACATTTGTGTTAATAGTTATGGTACCTGAATGCATTTTTATGATTTAACTCCTAAGTTTAGTGTCACTTGAAGTTCTCAAACTTGAGATCTTCAAGTGACACTAAGGCCCCAGTTCACACTGAGCGTTTTATCGCGCAGTAATATATCGCAAATATTTACCGGCCGATATCGCTCTCCAATGCATGGCAATGGGGCTCTGTTCGTCGCTGTCGTGGGTCGTGCGTCACTACAACAGGACCCTTTTTGGAGCGGATTTCGGCACGATTCTACTTTGCTCAATGCAACCATTTGCGCGATATCGCGCAAGATGACAATCGCGCAACAAACGCGCGATTTGCGATAGGCTCAGTGTGAATGGGGCCTAAAACTTCTCAAAAGGAATTATATACCTTTTTATAGTACCCTTCATTGGTTTCATTATTATGGGAAGAATACAGCGTAAGGAGTGTTTAGACAGACAGGCAATCTTTGCCTGATGAGTAGCTGTCTCAAGTAACACTTAGCACTGCCTTACTCCACCTAGAAATAATAAATCCATTGTGGATGTAGATCTGTTGTAGATGCTATAGCCTCTGCAGAAGTCACTTCAGTGCCATTGTGCATAAGTAATACAGAGTATTCAAATATGTAAAAGTTAGACTGTCCACAGCACTTTAAAAGAGTAAGTGATTTAATAGCACACCTGGGGATCCATTAACCAGCTGAACCAGGCCCCCACAACGCTTACTGGTCAGTTAATATTAGTGTGTATGTATGCGTGTGTGTGTGTGTGTGTGTATGTATGTATGTATATATATATATATCTCGGCCATTTTAGCTCCATTGGTTATTGTGTGCAAAAGCATTTGGTACAGTCACACTGCACATGGCTGGTGAGTGAGGAGGTATCAGCAGAAGAATGTAAGGAACTCCGCGTGGCTGGGGGAAGGGACACAGATAACCGCATGCTTCCCCTCTGCTCAGTATAGCTAGTCAGCTAGTAAGGTATTGCTGCTCTAATCTCTTTTAAGCACACAGTTTAACTGGGCTGTGCTGTTATCTGACACCAAGCAGAGCCACAGAGGAGGGAGGAATAGAGCCGAAAGCTGGTCTGCTGAAAAGAAAGAGCAGGACAAATCTCTCCCAGCACCTAAATCATGTGGCTCACTAAAACTCTGCTTGGTGCTTTTGTCTTTCTGTCTTCTTTATTTCACACGGTTCCTGGCAGCTGGGAGTGAAATCGCCTATGTGTTCATAGCTTGCCCAACTGAAATTGTGAACCACACACACATGGCAAAGACATTGCTGGGGGACACTGACAGGCACATAGTCACACAAATCTAATTCTCCTTTTAATACGTACAAAGCTGATGGTGAGAATCATAGACCCCATACATGTACATACAGTATATGTACCAAGCTGATGGTGAGAATCATAGGCCCCATACATGTACATACAGTATATGTACCAAGCTGATGGTGAGAATCATAGACCCCATACATGTACATACAGTATAAGTACCAAGCTGATGGTGAGAATCATAGACCCCATACATGTACATACAGTATAAGTACCAAGCTGATGGTGAGAATCATAGACCCCATACATGTACATACAGTATATGTACCAAGCTGATGGTGAGAATCATAGGCCCCATACATGTACATACAGTATAAGTACATGTACATGCAGTACAAGTACAAAGCTGATGGTGAGAATCATAGGCCCCATACATGTACATACAGTATAAGTACATGTACATACAGTACAAGTACAAAGCTGATGGTGAGAATCATAGACCCCATACATGTACATACAGTATATGTACCAAGCTGATGGTGAGAATCATAGGCCCCATACATGTACATACAGTATAAGTACATGTACATGCAGTACAAGTACAAAGCTGATGGTGAGAATCATAGACCCCATACATGTACATACAGTATAAGTACCAAGCTGATGGTGAGAATCATAGACCCCATACATGTACATACAGTATAAGTACCAAGCTGATGGTGAGAATCATAGACCCCATACATGTACATACAGTATAAGTACCAAGCTGATGGTGAGAATCATAGACCCCATACATGTACATACAGTATATGTACCAAGCTGATGGTGAGAATCATAGGCCCCATACATGTACATACAGTATAAGTACATGTACATGCAGTACAAGTACAAAGCTGATGGTGAGAATCATAGACCCCATACATGTACATACAGTATAAGTACCAAGCTGATGGTGAGAAACATAGACCCCATACATGTACATACAGTATGAGTACCAAGCTGATGGTGAGAATCATAGACCCCATACATGTACATACAGTATAAGTACCAAGCTGATGGTGAGAATCATAGATCCCATACATGTACATACAGTATAAGTACATGTACATGCAGTACAAGTACCAAGCTGATGGTGAGAATCATAGACCCCATGCATGTACATACAGTATAAGTACCAAGCTGATGGTGAGAATCATAGACCCCATACATGTACATACATGTGTATTAAAACCATCGATGTCTGTACATTTTAGTGCCCAAAAAATGCATCTAATTACTAGGGATGCACCGATACCGATTTTTCGGTATCAGGTACAAGTACTGATATTTTTATGACGGTACTCGACAATACCGATACCGGAAGTCCCAATAAGGAATCCGACCGACGTGTAAATGACACACCGTCCGTCTTTCTGCTAAGCTGGTGAAGCTGTCTCCCTGCTCCCTCTTCAATAGGTTACGAGGAAGCATGGAGCCGGCTTCCTGGCCAAACAGGAAGCCGGGGGACGTATAATGACTCGGCACCTGGCTTCCTGATTGGCCAGCTTCTCGACCAATCAGGAAGCTAGGCAGTGAGTCATTACATGCTGCCTGGCTTCCCAATTGGCCATGGAGCCGGCTTTCTGGACAATTAGGAAGCCGGGGGGCGGGTAAAAATTTAGGAAGCCGGGGGGCGGGCAAAAATTTCCCAGCATGCTCACCAGCTAGCCTGCAAAAAAAAACAAAAACATTACACTGTAACTTTTAGGGTTAAAAATAAAGGGTTTAGTTGCACAACTTTTGATAAATATGTGGAAGCCGCACTGCCACATCGAGGCCCCTCTGTGTAGTGTGGTCCTAACTCACTCACACATGCCGACATCACTGAACAGCTGGAACTGGTGTGTATAAGCTGGTATATTGTTTTCTGGTGTGAAAAATGTGGTTCAGTAAATTTCTGCATGCCATTACTGACCTTCTGAAAATGTTAGTTGCCTGGCTGTCTGGCTTTAACACTTTCTGGGTTTCTGATCAAGAACAAGGATGCAGGTCAGAATGAAGCAGTACTCCTCATCTATATACTTGTTTCAGGTCTGTGTCCTAGTGTTTTAGAAGTCGGGGTCGACAATGGCAGCCTACATTGAATTTGAGTAGCTAGAGTAGATGGGTTGGTGATGTCACCACTACTGAGAACCATTTTGTGGAGCCAGGACCCAGAATAACATATCCAGGGCTTGAAAAATGTTATGGCGTCTCACCAGTCAGCATGGGGGGGGGGGGTTTTTTTTACTAGATAATGAAAAAAGTTATGTAAATTACTTTGTGTAAGTAATGTAAATTAAAATCGCCATTTTCACGCGTAGGCACACCCGACGCATGTATGTGGGGGCAGGGGACTTATTAAAAAAAAAATTATTATTATTTTTTTAATTTGGCTTTACATTTTTTTGGGGGGTAACTTACATTTTTTTTCCCACTTAACTTTATTGATATCACATAGGGGGCTAAGAAGCCCCCTATGTGATAGCCAATTTACACAGGCAGGTCCTCTTTATGGAGCCATCAGGGGTCTCTTGGATCCCTAATGTCACTTAGGGACCAACTACAGAAGCTGGAGAATGACAGCTGAATGCAGAAGTGATGTAATATACATCACTCCTGCATTCAGAGAACGAGGAGATCAGAGGGAGATCATGCGATGATTTTCAGTGACAGAGCCGCCCTGCGGGTGCCGAGCCCTCACCGGACAGATCGGGGATCAGCGAAGGGGGGGGCACACACCCACATGTATTTTACAAGCGATCCAGCGGCTCTACAGCCGCCGGACTGGTTGTATGTAAAGTATGTAAACAGCCATCTGAGAAGCTCCCAGCCGGCCTGTTAATTACAATGGCCAGCGGTTAAACGGGCGTGAGCTGCTACTAGTCCAGCTCCGGCGTCCTCTCGTCACGTACAAGAGGACGAGTTGATTTTCAAGCCCTGAACATATCCCTTTGGGATCACAGTAGCAGTGTGAATATGAAGGCTGCCACTGTTGGTTCTCATGCTGTATGTGGATTCAATACCCTCGAGTCACTAATGCAGAACAAGCATGCTATCAGTCAAAACACATATTCCAGCTTGAGGGCCCAAATTTGTGAAGCCAGTGGATCAGCCTGAAAGCCAGACAACTAGCATTTTCAGGAGAGATCCGTCATTTTAGGTGACTTATTTTTTAAAGTTTATGTTTAAACTAGTCAAAGCTTGCTGATTTTAAATCTGCAATAGACATTAGAGGGCAGTTAGACATGGTATGCATAATCTGACTATCTGTGGGCAGCTGCAGGCCACTACCAATAAAAAGGGTCAGGAAGGTGTGCTACAGACACCTCCAGTAAAAGCTTATCAGGGGAGGGGGTGACAGGATAAAGATCAAAACCTGACTAATGTCTATTCCTTTCAACAGGCCTTGGCCTGTGGTGTCTGCTGGAGACCCATAGACATTAGAAATGAGCTCATCTCCTGTATTTGCTCAAATGAAGGAGTCCATCATCTAATGTCTATGGGTACCTTTTGTCGCCTATGTTTATATAGCCAACCTTGCTCTGGGGATAGGCGACTAATCTCACACTGGGAAGAGGAAGATGTCCTTGAGCTGTGCAGATGAGGTTTCCATTTGTGTTTAGCAATGTTTGTGTTCATTGAGTTTTCCAGCTTGGAATTTGAGTTGCAGACACTTGAAGGAGAATAGTCAGTCTTGTTTAAATAATTATTTGTGTTGGTTAAAAAAAAAAGAAAACAATGTAAAAACTGGCAATTGACAAGAGCAAGCTTTCCTGTATGCAAATAACCCCAAGCTGTTCTATTATCTGTTTTCCATCAGCACACTAGAAGTGTGGGGAGATCTGTAATAGAAGCTTTTCAGTTTATTCAAATAACAGGTGAAAATCAGTAATCTACACCTTCCCTGTAGGATCAATGGGGTCCCCTGTATAGAAGTGTAAACCTGCCTTTGGGAAATTAAAGAAATCCATCACAGTTAACTTGTTTGTATGGAGCTGCATGTTATATATCTGACAGGCAATCACATGAAAATGCACTACAGCGGATTACCATATACAATCAAGTGTCCAGTTATTCTGATCTTTGTTGCAGACCAGTAGGTTTTTGGATAAGTATTTATGGTTTAACTACATGAGATTGCGTTTTGCTAGTCAATGCAATTTCTATATCTCATACAGTGAGGAAAATAATTATTTGGTCCCCTGCAGATTTTGTAAGTTTGTCCACTTGAAACGAAAGGTCTATAATTTTTATCATAGATGTATTTTAAATGATGGAGACAGAATATCAACCACAAATCCAGAAAAAAAACACATGATACAATGTTGTAAATTGAGTTGCAGTAAAATAAGTATTTGATCCTCGAGCTGGCTATTCGGGAGCAAACTAGGCAGCCTGACCCAAGAGATTTTACTCTACACATGTATAGCCCAGTCAGAACTGCCTGAATGTTTAGCACTTCTGTTAACTTCTGGATCATGGAATCATGCAGTTAGATTTTCCATTCTGTTTCTTCGATGTTTGATCAGAACACAACTGGGCAAAGAAAGTTAGAGGTATCCCATACACGGGATAGCCGTGATTAGAGAAGACCCTAAATGGACTACAATGACCAAGAATTGGCCCGTATATGGCTTTCTTTAGGCTAGCTAATACTGTAACTTCCCAAGTAAAATAATACAAGAGCTTGCATAAAGAAACATGCACTGATCAAGTCTATATATTAGCGTTGACGGTCATATGTCCATACCATACAGCTATATGTCAACAGTGCACATCCATCAGGTAACTAACATTATCAAAGATGCAAGTTTACAAATGTGATGCTTAATGTTCCGTGGCAATGCGCTGCAGGCATCTAGAATGTGATCTATTTTGTATGTTGTCCCTGACTGATCTGGTAAACAGATTACATGTATTTTACTTTAGATCTGGCAGTGTGGAGGAAAGTTATTATTTACACCTTGTTCACGTGTGGGACACATCTATCGTTTACATGGATGGCAAGGAAATCCTCCGCCCGTCTATGTGGGGTCATCGCCAACACTGAAGGTTAGTTCTTATGTACAGCAAGGTATAACTTATATAAAAACACTCAAGTCTAGTTAAAAAGCTGGATATGTTTTAGAATGAAAACATTATGCACAATTACAAACCGTTCTTACTTTTGCCAGTTTGCCTGTAATTGGAGAACAGCTGATATGGTACCTTTTGTAAGTGATGTGTCTATGGCTGCTCCTTCTATTATATCATACTCACAAAAAGCAGACAGCATATCTTACCCAGATCTATCACTGCAAGCCTGCATTGCTCCTTTGTTTTTCCTAATGCAGACCAGCGCCGTGTCATGCAGTTAGGGAGTGATCACACACAGGAACGGGAATTCAAATCTTTCCTTATGTATTCTGACAAATGTATGGGACACCATAAAGGTAGCTCAGTTTTACAGAAAGGGTTGTAGTTGTCCCTATTTTTAATTTTATGGTTCCCTATTGTGTCCAGTTTAGTTTTTCAGTTGAGTTTGTTCTTAACCTCTCTGGTATGTTAAAGTGTTGCTCAAAAAATCCTATGTGGCCAGTTCTGGGGTAAAGTAGGGTACATAGATCTAGCGTCAGGCTATGGCCTGGTTTATCAGATATTTACCTAGAGGTAGGGTGTGGGGATACTAACCCGAGGATAGAGAATTGTCTTGGCTGAAAGAAAAAGTGAGTGTATTGTATGTGTGTGTGGGGGGAGATTGGAACAGTGTATTGGTGTGTGGGGGGGTTGTATTTTTCTATGTATGTGTGTATTGAGCCCCATTGACACCTATATTTCAGGTGCAATTAGGGATTCCTGTGTCGGGAACCTGCGTTTTCCTGCAGCAGGAATCCCTTATCTGGCGTTTAGATGCTGCAGCTGTCACCCATTCCAGTTAATGATCAGGTGACAGCCACTGCATGCAAACGCCTGCACACTGCATGTAATGGTATGTGATATAATTACAAAAACAAGTTACAAAAACAATCGCTATCCCTTGATTCCTAACTGCATGTGCAGGCGTTTACAGGCAAAGGAAGGCAGAGCTGTAGGGGTTAATGTACATATTGCATACAGTGGGAGGATGGAGATGAAAGGGTTGATGTACAGGTCAGAGAATAGATAGAATGGATCTAACATTAGCAGTAGAGGAGGTGGGGTTCAAAGTGTTAGAATGATTTGCTGTATTTTTTATTTTTTTTTACTACCGTGTTTTTCCGGAAATAAGACCTAGTACTATTTTTGGGAATAAGACCTACCCAGAAAATAAGACCTAGTTGTGACCATTTCCAGGGCCGGTGGTGACATAAGGGGGAACTTGAAGAGCCGCGGGAGAGAATCAGCGGTGCCAATGAAGCCAGCGCTAGAGGAAGCGAGGCGGCAGCGGAGGGATCAGAGTCGCATAAGCCGATGCCTCCTCACTAGCGCCGGCTCCTGTCACAGGCGGAGTGATACCAAATGCACTCCGGCTGTGAGGAATCCATAGTGAAAGCTTCGCTCATTCTGGCCAGCGATTGGTTACCAAATTGCTCTTGGAAAAGTAAGGCACATCTGATTGCCCTGATCACCCTATTCTTAATTTTGCCATTTTGGATTATTTAATTTGGATATGGATTTGCATTAACTTTGGATTGTTGTACATTAAAAAAAAAAATAAGACCTACCCCGAAAATAAGACCTAGTGTGTTTTTTTGAGCCCAAAAAAATATAAGACAGTGTCTTATTTTCGGGGAAACACGGTAGGAAGTAATGAATGGATGACTCATCTATTCATTATTCACTTTACTCTCTGCTAAGAGGAGGGGCAGGTCTTGACAATGTTAACATTGTCATGTGATCACTGTGATAACCAATCACAGTGATCACAGGACACAGAACTGGTCCAATTGGTTCTGTGTCTAAAGCCCTGGTTCTCTGCTATTTAATGACAGCATATACAGTGGCCGGTCCACAGGTGGCTAAAGAAGTCTGCTTCTTATGTAGTCCCCCACCCCCATCAATTAATGCTAAGTTAAAGAAGAAAACATTAGAAGAAAAAAATAAAAGTTACTCACCTTACACTATGGCTTCCAGCCTCTTCCTGTAGGCATCAGGGAGGTCTATGGGCCTTATCTCAGGGTCCTGGGAACGCTAACTCCCAGGAGAAGCATTGCCAACACTGTGCAGGAGTGACGACTTGTGACATTTGGGCTCCTCAGCCTGCCTGGGATGTTGGAAGAAGGTCCAATGGCATCAATCGGGGGGGGGGGGGAGGCAGGTGCACG